AGGGCTGCAGAGGGCGCGGCGTCATGAACCTGCGCCTGTCCCGGACTCAGGGGACCCTGCTGCCCTCCACAGACCCGGGTGGGGCGACGGACCCCGCTACGCGGCGCACCCGGCTGAGGAGCTTGGGACATATGGCCAGCCACACCACTGATTTTTTTTCTTTTTTAACTGCACCGGGGATCCAACTCGGGTCCCGGTCCTTGCGCTTCCGTGGCAGGCGGCAGAACCACTCAGCTAAATCCCCGGCCCGCACAAATTTCTTAAAATACAAAAAACATGGATTCTAAAAACTGATAAATGAGAGCCGGGGATTTAGCTCAGTGGCACCTCGCCTGCCTCGCAAGCGCAAGGTCCTGAGTTGGATCCCAAAACAAACAAACAAACAAAACACACCCTGATAAATGGACTTCGAAATTTAACACTTGTATTCATCCAAAAGGAGGATGAAGAAAATAGATGGTAAGGGGAAGAAACAGTCCCAGTGTAGGTACCTGACAAAGGACTTGTACCCTGCAACTCGGTAATAAAGGGTCAAACAGCCCAAACCCAAAATGGGTATTTCGAAAAGAAGATAAACGTTACTAGGCATACGAGAAATGCTCATCCAATATCATTTGTTGCGAGGAAAAGCAAATTAAAACCTTAGCTCCTACTGCCATACAAAGGAGCAGGGCTGGCTTTTTTCTAAATGATAGAGATTTATTCCTTAGAGCTCCAGAGGCCGGGAAATCCAGGGTCTGTTCTCAAAGACGGCACCACAGTGTCCTGCTGTGGTCGAAGGGAACTGAAGGGCATAAAAGGTGACCGCGGCCCTCAGAGATGGACCGGGCCGCGGCCTCCCGCGGCGCCTGTGCAAGGGCAGGAGTCCTGTCAGGGGCCACCACCGTTATGGTGGCGAAGCGGCCTCCACGCTCACCTGGGTTTCCTCCTCTGGAAAGAAAAACAGCCTAATTCAGACGCCAGCGCACAGTAAGGGAGCTGGGCCGCAAGAGGGCGCTGCAGCCGGGGCGCATGTGGCTCCTCAGAGCTTTGCGCGCCCAGGGCTCCCGCTTGGGCTGGTCCAGAGGTACCACCAGTACCAGCAACGGCACCAGCAGTATCGCTATTACACGAAGTACCAAAATCTGCAAATGCAAAGTCCTGAGTTGAATCCCCGGTACTGTTTTTTTTTTTTTTTAAGTTCTAAAATTAGCCCAGAAGGAGGGAAAATGTGAGCTGGCCAATTTGGACAGAGTACAGCTGTCAAGAGCCCCAGGCAGGGGTAGTTAACGGCCCAAACCTCCACAGGTGTAAAGAACACTTATCTATGGCTCTTCTAGGGCATTAAAATAAAAAGAAAGCTCCATATCCTTTCCATGCTACAATTTTGAAAAAGTTGAGAGTTGATAGTAAAAACTTTTTTAAAAAAGAGGAAGAATCCTTACAGACTAGGTTTGTTTATAAATATTGATATAAAAATCCTGAAAACTTTTATTAGCTACATTTTCACCAAGGATACCAAGAGAATAATAATATACCATGATCAGGTTGAATGTATTCTAAAGTGGTTTAATGTTCGGAATTATGTGGCTTACTCCAAATAAAACAATTTCTTAATAGGATAAAAGTACTATTTTTATATTATTATATCCATAGATACTATAAAGCACCCATACATGATTTTCTAAAATAAATGTCAAAAAGGAAATTGCACAACGGTTAATCATAGAGTTGCCTTATAGAACAGCAAGTTCACTCCTAGGTATCTGCCCAGGATAAATTAGAAATATGTCCCCATAAAAGCATGCCCTCGTCAGGAGGGCCTCACCCACCTGGATTGAGCACATGGTGAAATCAGCTGGTCACGTGTTGCCTGATGCCATTTATATGAAAAAACCCAGAACAGGCAACTCCAGAGTCAGAAAAGTAATGCTCCTGGGTGTCTCCATGATGATGGATTTTCAAGATGAAGAAAATGTCCTAAAATGTGATTACAATGATGGTTGTAAAACTGTGAATATATTTTAAAACTTGAGATGCACTCAGCAAATGAATGAATTTTATGGTATGTAGGTTATCTCTCAATAAAGTTGCTCTTTAAAAAAAATGTTTAAAGCCTCCAAATAAAAGGCAGAGATTGCCGGGCGTGGTGGCACACGCCTGTAATCCCAGCACTGGGGAGGCTGAGGCAGGAGGATTGCTGTGAGTTTGAGACCAGCCCGGGCTACATAGTGAGTTCCAGGTCAGTCTCAACTACGTAATGAGAGCCTGTCTCAAAAAACAAAAACAATAAAAAACAACAAAAACAAAACAAAAAGGCAGAGATTGTCAAACAGTTAAAAGAGCAAGACTTGCCCGTGTGTTCTCTGGAAGAAGAAACTCACCTGCCCAACACAACCCACCCTGGGTTCCACCTGGCACTGAA